AGGAAGATGAGGCAAAGCGGACCAAAGTTGCAGTACTATTACTTTAATAAACTAAACAAAATGATAATCCAAACAGGATATAATTCACAGATGGCAAACACTCATAACAGTAATAGCTAAACATAAACAGTGCCAGACCAAGCACTGAGCGAACTGAGGGTAATTTACATACGACGTAATGAACAAAACAAGAAACAATATATTGCGATTAATTGTTTGACAGCACTAATATATATATATATATATATATATTTTTTTTTATTTATTTTTTTTTTTTCTACATTTTACAAATTAAATATTACATTATACGTATGTAAAATAATGTGTGATTTCCATCAGAGGTTTGGTCTTAAATTTCAAATAAGGTGGTATTGAAAAGGTCTTAAAAAGTCTTAAATTTAACTTGTTCATATCTGTAGACACCCTGCAATATGCTCCAGAGCCAGAGTTAGGGATGTCTTTACTGCCAGATGCTGATTTTAGCAGAGATTCTCCAGCAGTGACGATTCGAAAAGTTTTTCCAGAAACATGGATCTGGGAGCTTGCTGAAGTGGGGTCTGTGAAACATAATCAGTACTTTTGACAACATATTGAAACATATCTTTACTACATGTTCCCTCAAGTCCAGATGACAAAAAAAAAAAATCATACTTGCTTTGCAGTTTCTGAGTCCAGTTTTTTTTTCTGTGCTGAATGTTATATATAACAGGAAAAAATGGATGCTTAATGGCAGATCAGAATGAAATAGGCCTGTTGTTGTAATTCCAAAATTTTTTTTTTTATTTATATAGTAAAGACAGTACACAATTTTAGTTTATCAAAAGCCACTTTGTTTCTTATTACAATTAGTATATCTCTTATCTATTATATATTATTCTCTTATTTTTGTTTTCTATCTGATATGTGTAAAACTGTGTATGTGTGCCATATAAACCTGATGAAATTAACCCAAACAAAATGATGAAAACACTGCACAGTATTTCCCAGAAACTGAGTAAGATATAGAAAGAGTAACTGGAACTCAGCCAGATCTTATCCCCCACTAGAGCAGCAAACAGGGAAATCCCAGAATGTCTCTGATGTAGCATATAAAATGAAGCCAGTCAGCTCATTTATTCACATTTGGTCAGTCAAGTGGCTTAAAGTGAAGACCTTCAAGAGATTGAAACAATGAAGACTGTGGCAGCTCTACTTGTTTTTGTCAGTTTGGCCATTGTTGCTATTGAAGGTAAGATTGTTTTTGCTTTTTTTTTAACATTTCACTAACTCAGCACAATCTGTTGCTTCGTTGTTTCAGAAAAATAATTTCCGTCATTTATTTCTATCATCCTCCAGGGAAGCCCGGGATTGGAATCCAAAGATGTTTATGTCATGGTGCTGGTCTCAAAATGGTGAGGCCAAAGCTGATAGAGAAAGTTGAAATTCACCCTATTAGTCCATCCTGTGGACATCTGGAGGTTGTGTAAGTACATTATTATTTCTAATTGAATTTAAGACATTATCAATCTATGTTCTCTTTAAATAACCTGATGATGTGTCTGAACAGTGTCACACTGAAAAATGGTGAAGGTCGAAGATGCTTAAACACAGAGTCATTGTTTACCAAGAACATCATTGAGAGGATTGCAAAAAAGACCAGGTGAGTCATATCAATCACATAACAACTGATATTGAAGACCTGAACTTCATATCGTTCATATTTAAAAAATTAAGAAATACAATGGAGTAATGTTTATTTATGTTTCTTCTTTTTTAGGAGTGCTCAGTAAAATGTGTGAAGGTTGTGGCCACTGTGGACTCTGTCATTAAAAAGCTGTATTGATTCTTTCATTTATTACAATAGAGTATTTTATATATTATATTTACACATTATGTTATGAGTAGTTTAATTTATTTAAAAACAATGTGTTGGATGTTCTTCTGTTTGTTGTTAAATGTCAGATGAAAGTTTCAAATAAAATCTTGTGAAGGTTTGATAATTTTTGCGTTTATGGTCTTGGTCATTGGTTCCTGAAGAAATATTAGTTATGTTACATGTCTCTGTGTGTGCAAAAAGTAAACAGGAGATGCAAATAAAGATGCAAAGTTATTGCCTGGTCAGATGCAACCAATTCATTTTTTCCCCCATACCATTTAACACTTAAAAACAGTATGTTATTTCCACCTAATATACACATATATATATAAAAAAAAGTAATATTATAAAAATATACAATAAAAAGGCGTATTTATATGACATCATCCTAAAAACCAAAGTTAGCGCAACAAGACACAATACGAAACAACAAGGGAAACTGAGCAATGGAAAATATCTCAACACCACAAATCAAGGGTGAACATAGAAATATCACATTTCTGACAATATATATGAAAATGGTACAAGAAATGGCATAGTTAGGAAGGGGACAATAACAACACTGTGAATAAGTTTTCATTTGAGTCTGTAGGAGTGTGTTCACCAGTCACAGGGAAACCGCAAAAATGATATGTCACTAAAAGAAGACAATCCAAATTTAGTACCTACAGGCTTGTTCACACAGGAAAGGGATGAATCACAGTGAAATTAAAAAATGAAAGTGTTTTAAAAAGTTCAACTTCCTTTGACTTGACACAATGTCTTAAAGGGGTCATATGATGCTTTTTTAAAGATCATTATTTTGTGTATTTGGTGTAACAGAATATGTTGACATGCTTTAATGTTCAAAAAACACATTATTTTTCAAATACTGTACATTATTGTAGGTTCTCTATGCCCCGCCTCTCTCAAACGCTTCGTTTTATACAAAGTCCCTCCTTCCGACAAGCGCAGTCTGCTCTGATTGGCCAGCTGACCCAGTGCATTGTGATTGGCCGAACATCGCAAGCACTCGTCGGAAATGTAACGCCCCTTACCATAATCGCGAGCTTCATCCTCTCGCTCGCTCTCTCTTTCTCTCTCTCTCTCTCTCTCGCTCTCTCTCTCCCTCTCTATCTCTCTCGCTCTCTCGCTCTCTCTCTCTCGCTCGCTCGCTCGCGCACACACACACACGATGCGCAAAACTCCGCATTTGAACAGTCAATAGCAAATACTTACACTAATAACAAAACAGTAGCTGATTCAGAAGCACCAGATTGTCATAGCAAAGTCAGAATTACCTCCTCTCCTAGGTTCATGAAACGGTCGTCCATAAAATGCATTGCTGTTCTGTTGTAAGTGATCTTAAAGATTCCTAAATGCATCTACTTTCGGAAGGCCAAATAAAGTGCTTTTGCTTTCGCCTAGAAACACACAGCGGCTCCCTGACATGGCTGCTTCAACACTAACTGCGGTTACTGAAACCACGCCTTCTTTCTTTGCGTGAACATTTGGGCAGCATTATGCTAATATTTCCACATAGTGAGGTAGATATGTGGGGGCGTGTTAGAACGAGCCGTTTTAGGGGGGCGTGGCAGAGTCTTAACTTTGATAAAGAATATCTCTTTGGTTTTGAGACTTTAGTCTTTGCAACTTCAGGGATATTATCTATGCACAATCAGCTTGTAACACTCCAAAGAGAAAGGAAAACTTGAAATCGCATCATATGACCCCTTTAAATACACAGACAGGGCATACTTTATGTGTGAGATGTGGTCAAAGAAATTTGGCTAGGCTGTTCATTGCATAAAATGCTTAAGTAAGTCTTACAAGTTAGTCATATTTTTTTTTCTTTAAGACTGGTCATAACTTTTTTAAATCAATTAGATAAAAATGTATATTGGTCTAATTTGAATCTGAAAACTAAGACTGATTATCCCTATAGCTAACTGCTACTGAGAAGCCATTTTATTCATAGATACATCACAATACACTCTAAAAAAATCTGTAAAAATAGGCCACAATATACTGTATATTTTGAAGGAATTTTTTACAGGTGTTTTACCAGTGTTTTGAATTTTACGCCTCATTGCATTGTGTTTTGTAGTTAACAGAAATGTCTGTAAAATCAATGGATAATGTCATGTCATGTGTAATGAGCTGCCAGTACAGTTTCTTTTTCACAGTGTAGGGAAGAAAAGATAATCGCAATATTCATGTCGTGCAGATTTTAAAACACAGTCTTAGCATAATGACTATGTTTATGCAACTGCCCCCCAATCTCATGAGAAAATTTTACTATTTTGTGTTTTGGTAAATTGGTGGCAAAATACATAAACACAAAGAATCAAGACTGTAGCTTATGTGTATAAGAACCAGATTGGGTTCATATGTATTATTAATTATACTAAACAGCATGTCGATGAGGTAATATAAACATAAAGTTTAACAATCAGCACTATAGTGTGCTAGACGTACACATACACTTAACCTACATGTTCACAAAACATTGTTATTTGTATGTTGGTCTTTTGCTTCTGCATTAGAAATGCAACAGAAAAGATCAAAGTAAACATTTTGCTCATGACATGAGTTTGCAAAATGTTTTTCCCCCTTCATAAGTGTGAGCTTCTTATTAAGACTCTATTCCATATACAGAGGTAGTGAAAACTGATGACTGATTTCTCTGAAAACAGAAGTTGGGTTCACGTTTGACGTGATGTCACTGATTTTCATCATCACAACATTGGTCATTTCATAATCCAAAATATTGTGTTTATAATGGCAGTTTAAACATTTGAATAATTTATGCACATGGAGTTGAACACTGTTTGCTGTTGTCTGACCAAAGAGTATTATAATTAAGGATGATTGCCAGTATAATGGATGCTTTAGCGCTTGTGCAGAGATTTTACATTTGATCCCTTCATTTACCTTGGGCTTCAAATAGTGTTTGAAAGAATTTACACCAACTTCCAAAATTGCTGTAAAACAAATTATTATTCTTCCTCATTGGCCAGAATAATCTTTGCACTAAACGACACGAGACAAAGTCAGGGCATTTCAAAGAAATGGGAAATCGAAACTGCCGTGCTTGTGAAATTGAAACTGGGACCTGAGTCCGCTCTGTAAATCCCTGATCTTCTGACAGCTATAAGTACTGTAGCTGAACTGGCAATAACAGTCTTAGACAATCGTCAAAACTTTAAAAACTATGAAGACTACAGCAGTTTTTGTTTTTCTTTCCTGTCTGCTTGCAACGGAAGTACAAGGTGAGTGTTGCCTATTAAGACCTATAATTGAATAATTGTAATATAACTGTATCTCTTAAAAATATTTTATTTTTTATATTAATTAGTTTTTTATCATGCTGTTCTGCACCCTATAAAGTACAATCTTCCTTCCAGGGCAGAAGTTTTCCAAAGGCAGGTGCTTCTGTGCTGACAAAGGAGTGAATGTGGTTTTACTGAAGAACATTGAGAAGGTTGAAATCATTCCTCCAAGTCCATCTTGTGGGAAACAGGAGATTATGTAAGGACAAAAACAATGGTTTTGTACAGATATTTACTATTAATGATCATGCTGCTGTCTCAACCCTCTTGAACACCTTCAGCTCATCTTTCCTTTTTTATTTCCAGTGTCAATCTGAAGAGCACAGAGCGGAAGTGCTTGAATCCAGAGTCTAAATTCACACAGAATTTAATCAAGAGGGCTCTTGAAAAGATGTGAGTGTAACATTTTTTGTTGTTTGTTTGACCTATTGGCAATTTCTGAAATGAATAAATTATATACAAATAATATAGAATATTTAAACTAATATATAATTAACTATTTCTGATCTCTACAGGGCCCGGCAGTAGATGCTTAGTGCGAGACTGGATTAGCTGCTGTGTTATAATGCCAATGAAGAACATCCTCAGATGCTGTATGACCTCTAGCTGACAGTTTGCATACATTGCATGAGTTTGCCTAGAACACATATGCATAAACTGTAAATATTTTCTGCTTGATAATTTATACAACTGACTGTGTAGTAATTATAAATTTCAAATTATAAAATTATAAAAAGTAAATATATATATATACAGTAGTAAACATTTGAAGTGGATCAAAGCCTGTCATCAAAGTTGTCCTAAAACCTAAAACCAAAATGCGTTCTTGTCTTGTCTTAGGACAACTTTGATTAACTTTTTTGATCCACTTCAAATGTTGACTACTGTATATATCATTTTGTGTATAAGTTTTGTTTTAGGCTCATAAAACAAATAAACACTGTTGTTGCTGTTATACAGTCCACTTATAATGTTTATTATTTCATTGTCCATCTGTGTCCACTGTGTTATCAAATAAAAGTTTTTGTCTTCCATAAATTCTAGCTCTTTGGTCTCTGTTAATTCTTCGCGCAAAAACTGTTTTAGCATAAAGGACAAGGATGCATCTTCAAGGAATGGAAACATTGTCTAAAACTGTCTAAAGCACAAAATTGAAAATCAAAGGAGGCTATCTTGGTTCACTTGAATAAGATGACCTTGTATTTGGGACAAGTAGCCTCCTGAGGGACTTATCTCAACTGTCAGATTTTTGTACATCATGCACAAAATATTAATTAATTAATTCATTCATTCATCACAAGTGTAAATGCATTTTGACAATTTAGATAAAATGATTGACATACAAATCGAATAACATTATCCCAGTCAGAGTGATATGTCTGAATTACATATGAATCATAAACAGGCCAATATTTTTTAAGTGATGTCATAATTGCATGTAAACTGAATTCAGACTGCATGATTCTGCTCAAATGAAATAAATGAGTGTAATGAAATAATATGAAATAATGAAATAAATGAATGAAAATAAAATAATAACTTAATGAATTCTAAAATGTAAGAATCAGAATAAGAAAGAGCTTTATTGCCAAGTAAAATTGGTCTTGATTACAGGAACTTCCAGTGCAGAAAAAAAGTACAGACAGCGCAGATGTACATAAATTAAGTTAATAAAATGAAATATAACACTAATAATAAAGACAATAGACTATTCTAAAGTGGACTAGAATAGATAAAAATAGAGAATAGACAAATGACTATAATAAAAAAGTAACTTTGAATTTTATTCAGTTCAATTCACATTTATTTGTATAGCACTTTTCCCGATACAAATCTTTGCCAAGCAGCTTCACAGAAAATTTAAGTTTCTACATTATATTTTATTAGGAGTAGCTTATCAGAGGTGACTATGTCAAGTTTATGTCCATATGTCAGAAATGTACAGTAAATATCATGCAGTTAGTTAATGACGTAATCAAACAGACGATGAACACTATTAACAGCAATTATTATATGATGCAATCAAACTTATAGCAACATTTGGTAGTTTTGTATGTTGGTTCAGGGTTGGCATCATCTGAGGTCCTCTGAGGGGTTGGCATCATCTCTTCTCAGGTGTTTAGTCATCTCAGATCTTTGTAAGGGTTGAATCCAGACTGAAGCTTGTGTAATTCCAAGTTACCTCGGATGCCCATCCTGTGGCAGAAACAGAGAAGCAAATAGAGAAAAATTAGCACAGCGTATAAGTAGTTGTAATATTTTGTACCTGATACAGAACTTAATAGGTAGAGACTGTAAAATTGGGGTAATATGATCATATTTTCTTGCCCTGGTAAGGACTCTAGCAGCTGCATTTTGGACTACCTGTAGCTTGTTTATTGAATATGCAGGACAACTACATAGCAATGCATTACAATAGTCCAGTCTTGAGGTCATGAATGCATGAACTAGCTTTTCTGCATCAGAAACAGGTAACCTGTTCCGTAGCTTGGCAATGTTTCTAAGATGGAAGAATGCTGTTTTTGTAACATGTGAAATATGAATTTCAAAACAAACGTTGCTGTCTAATATTACTTCCAAATTTTTGACTGTAGAGGAAGTAACAGTATCCGTCTAGATGGACATTTTAATCTAATAGATTCTGTGTTATGAGATTCTTTGTCTTATCCTAATTTAATAGGAGAAAATTATTGGTCATCCAATCTTTTACATTTTTAACACTCTATTAGCTTAGTTAATTTAGAAGTTTCATCTGGTCTTGTTGAAATATATAGTTGGGTATCATCAACATAACAATGGAAACTAATCTCATATTTTCTAATAATATTGCCAAGGGGCAAAATGTATATTGAAAATAGCAGAGGGCCTAAGACAGATCCTTGCGACACTCCATGCTTTACTGGTGTTAACTGATAATACCAGCATGCATTGTATGCATAATCACTCTATTTTTTTTTAATATATATGTAGCAGTTGAAGTGACATTTCCAGATTTCACAAAAAGTTTTATTTTTTTTCAGTTTCAGTTTTGCATTTCATCAGCATGATTGTGCTAAGTCATTAGCTTAGACTTCAACACAATGTCTGGTTAAGATCCTATATAAAGAAAAGGGTAGTGAAAACACTTGATAACATTCCAGTGAAATGAGAAGTTTTGTCTAATGACCTGATTTGCAGTTTGTTTATGCGTTAAACTATTTGGTATGAATTTCAACATTGGAACTCTGATTAGTCACTGAATTTCATCATTAGAAAATTTTCATAACTGAAATATTTAATAATCTGCAAACAAACGTTACTTGCTTTACGTTAAGTGTTGTACATACCATACAAATATATGACAAAACCCATTTTGACTAGAAACTTTTCCTAAAGGTTTGGTTTATGCCAGTTTATCCTCAAACTTACCTGGCTCACCAAAAAAGTCTCATTTGAAAAACACGACCCATGAGTGCTTAGAGAAAACTATACAATAATTTATGGACAAACAACTCACACATATTACTGGCCAATATATGTCATCAGCTTTTTACCATCAAATGTAACAAATATTGTTTAGACTGACTTGAAAATAAAGAGGTAGTGAAAACAACTGACCATTTTCCACAGAAAATACACTTTTTGTCCCACATCCTTGTTTGTGGTTTTTAATGCCTTCATAATAAATAAATGAAACATCCACAAGCACACCAGCAAAACCAAAAGATCCCAGCCACACTTTGTGATCATGGAGATGGATCATTATTATAATTTTTTTAATTTCAGACCAAAAATGACTGTAACAGATCTTGTGTTAAATAGGCAAAGGTAAATATTTATAAATTTGATCAACTTGCTAAAAAAAACTTTTGGCTAGCATATCACATGCTTAATGTAACTTAATTAGCAAGTACATTCAATGAAGTAAAACATTCACTGGCAAAAATGGTAACCACAAAAACTATAACATAACAGAAACAGTATTTAACATGTAAACACACACGCACACACACAGGTTTGTTTTTGTGAAAAATGGGGACATCCCATAGGCGTAATGGTTTTTATACTGTACAGACCGTATATTCTATTGCCCTACATATAGGTTGATAAATAAATTAAATAAATTAGATTTTTTGCAATCATGCATTTATTTAATATTGTGGCAGTAGATCCACTCATTATATTTTTAGAGTATAAGCTAAGAAGCTTTTTTTATTTTTTCATTGGTTGTTATTGACTTGGCTGAACTGTGGTGTTAAAACTATTATCTTTGGGTTACTACATTGAAAATGTTCTTTAATGATGACCAGCAGCTAATACTCTGACGCTAAGCAGGGTTGAGTCTGGTTAGGACTTGGATGGCAGACCTCTTTGGGAAAACACTGCAAGAAAAAAATCTGTAGAAAAATGGATATTATCCTAGCAGATGGGGTGTTGCTGGTTAAGGGGAGTGGGTGATTAAGAATGATATAAAACTTGACTATTGAGAAAGCTGATTTCAGTAAAGGGTAGGACCACATTTACATCCAATTGGTAAACAGTCAAAAATTAAACAAACTTCAACTTCACAGTGTAGCTATAAACAGGAGCAGGAATCAGTCAGATTGAATGCACAGAAATTGTTGGTTGTTACTTGGGTGCCTGTCACCGTGTACTGTAGTTATATGCACAGATTTCTTTGAAACAGTGGGTCATTATCATTAAAATTATTGCAAAAGATTGTGTTAATAAATAGGTTCAGTGTGCATTTGATCTATTTGTGTATTGTTACCTTAATTTATATACAACATATATACAACAGATTGTCATGTGTTTAAAAACAGACAATAAAAGCCATGAAATTCAATCAATTAAAACATTTTCAAAATATCTTAAATGCCCAATGTTTTTCAATGTTTTAGCCTAACATCTAGTAGTACTCCCGCCAAAACACAATTCCCACTATATTCCAGTCTAATTAAGCAATATATCCTTCCTCATTCATGGAAAGTTACAAACAGGGTGCCCTAAGTCAAGGCTTCTCTCCATGAGGGTTAAGGACAGTGCTTCGGAGAAATCGCAATAAAAAGAGAAAAAAGGGAGGAAGCTGGAGTACTGAAACCTAAAAAGAGAACTAAAACTGAGGGGAAACCCTGATCCTACAGTATTTAAATGAACTCCTGAAGTCCTTCAGTCATAATCTCACTGACCCAGACATAACACAAGCACAGTTCAACGAGAGCAAGAAGACAATGAAGACTATTGCAGCTTTTGTTCTTCTCGCCTGCCTGATCGCTGTAGGGGTGAAAGGTGAGTTTGAGCTCTGAGAATCGCAGATCAAGAGCATTCAGCATATCTTCAGAATGTACATTTGTTTATGGTAATGTTTTGCAGTTAATAGACTCTAATGAAACATATGACATTTCTCTTCCAGGACAGGACAGGTCTTCAAAGGGCAGGTGCTTCTGTGCAGACAAAGCTGCAAACATGGTTTTAGTGAAGAACATTGAGAAGGTTGAAATCATCCCTCCAAGTCCATCTTGTCGCAAACATGAGATTATGTAAGCACAGCCTACATTTGTATACAATCATTTATTTTCATTTTCAATTAATTAGTCAACTGTAAAACAAACCCAAGTAAGATTCAGCTCATTGCTTTTTATTCTTTCATAGTGTCACTCTGAAGAATGGTGCAGGACGGAAATGCATGAATCCAGAGTCAAAATTCACTCAAAATGTCATCATAAAGGCTCTTGAAAAGAGGTGAGAATAGTATATTTACTCATGCTTCACATATATATTCAATGCAAAGATGTAGATTTGTGTGGCAGAGAGCAATTAAAAAAGACTTGATTAATTGATTAATGGGAAATGAAACTAAATGTAACCTATTTCTGATCTTCACAGGAGCCAGCAGACAGCACCACACAGTACAACTGCCTCTGTGCCACTGAAGAACACCATGACATCATCATCTGCACCAACATCCTTCAAATGACTTCATATGTATTAATATACTGCCTCATAAGTTGGAGTTCAATTTAGAAAAAAAACTTTAAAACTAAAAATATTTCCTGTCTAAGCTGATAAAATTATTTGTTATCTGATCACTGGGTTGTTTTCACAAACGTTTTCACAAATGTGTCATATGTACAGTCTTTTTATAATTTGTTTTATGATTGTATTTTCATTATCCACAAAGATGTGTCAAATAAAACTTTTATATCTATAAAATACGTCTCCTGACCTCTTTCAGAGTAGTTCTTGCATTCTGACATTCTGAGTAAAAATGCATATGATAATCCATTTACAATAAGCAATAGTCTCATGGGCATCTAAAACACGAGGTCTGGGACATGAAAGTTAAGTTACGTTTTAAAGACTGCTACTATTTTAAACAGTGTCTCAGTTGACTGATATGGCTGGTATAAAGACTTTTGCCAGTGCAAACTAATGTTGATTGCCACTGCACTGGATAAATCAATCAACTGAAAATGATATCAAGCTACATTTCCATTCCACATAATGAATTAAAACAACATCTAGACAGCTACTTCCAACTGTGATCAGAAGAAACTGTTATAAAAAAAGCCTTAAACGTCTTAAACATGGGAACTTCTGCTCTGCTTATTGTTAGTTGTGTCATCATTAATGAAAGAAAGTTTAAACAAATGAGTCTCTCTTGAAAAAGGAAGAGAGGAGGAAGTGATGGAATATAGTGAATGCATGAACAAAACAGCAATTAGTGTTCACTGTTATTCTTTCATTGTATCGTTAGAGCAGACATTGAGATCCCATACCCACAATATTTCTATCTATCTATCTATCTATCTATCTATATATATATCTATATATCCATCCATCCATCCATCCATCCATCCATCCATCCATCCATCCATCCATCCATCTATCCATTCTATCTATCTATCTATCTATCTATCTATCTACCTACCTACCTATACATACACTGCTGTTCAGAAGTTTGGGATCAGTAAGGTTTTTTATATTTTTCAAAGAAGTCTCTTATGCTCATTTAGGCTGCATTTATTTGATCAAAATACATTCAAAAACTAATATTGTGAAATGTTATTGTAATTTAAAATAGCTCTTTTGTATGTGAATATTCTGTCAAATGTATTTATTCCTATGAAGCAAAGCTGAATTTTCAGTATCATTATTCTTCAGTGTCCTTCAGAAATCATTCTAATATGCTGATTTATTATCAATGTTGGAAACAGTTGTGCTGCTTAATATTTTTTGGAACCTGTGACATTTTAATCAGGATATTTGATGAATACAAGGTTAAAAAGAACAGCATTTAAATAGCAAAATAGAAATAATTTGTAACAATATATACACTACCGTTCAAAAGTTTTGGGGCAGTATTTTTTTAAAGAAAATATTTTTTTATTCACCAAGAATGTGTTAAGTTGAAAAAATGTTTTTATTAATTCATCAAAGAATCCTGAAAAAAAGTATCACAGGTTCCAAAACATATTAAGCAGCACAACTGTTTCCAACACTGATGATAAATCAGCATATTAGACTGATTTCTGAAGGATCATGTGACACTGAAGACTGGAGAAATGGCTGATGAAAATTCAGCTTAGCATCACAGGAAGAAATTATATTTATATTAAAATAGAAAAGAGTTATTTTAAATTGTAATAATATTTCACAATAGTACAGTGTTTTCTGTATTTTTGATCAAATAAATACAGCCTTAGTGAGCATAAGAGACTTATTTAAAAAAACATTCAAAATCTTATTGATCGCAAACCTTTAAACAACAGTGTATATATATTCTCTATATACTCTATTGATATGCCTGAAAAAAAAAACAGCTGTGTTTATAGAAGTAATTATACCAGTCTTATACGTTTTCCCATATTGATGACATTTGTGCATGTCAGCATTTCCAAATTTCCAAATCGCACCAAACGATTCATTCACGAATTGGAATGATCCGATTGCAGCTGTTCTCGAGTCGACAACTCACTGATTCAAATGAACCGTTTAGTGCGAGTCTCCAGTGAACTGAATTCACAAGTAAGAACCGGGATGTGTACTTCGTCCACCACTGGTATTAAATTACACAATGTTCATGTTTTTCAATGTTCAATGTTCTTCTCGCCTGCCTGATCGCTGTAGGGGTGAAAGGTGAGTTTGAGCTCTGAGAATCGCAGATAAAGAGCATTCAGCATATCTTCAGAATGTACATTTGTTTATGGTAATGTTTTGCAGTTAATAGACTAATGAAATATATGACATTTCTCTTCCAGGACAGGACAGGTCTTCAAAGGGCAGGTGCTTCTGTGCAGACAAAGGTGCAAACATGGTTTTAGTGAAGAACATTGAGAAAGTTGAAATCATCCCTCCAAGTCCATCTTGTCGCAAACATGAGATTATGTAAGCACAGCCTACATTTGTATACAATCATTTATTTTCATTTTCAAGTAAAACAAACCCAAGTAAGATTCAGCTCATTGCTTTTTATTCTTTCATAGTGTCACTCTGAAGAATGGTGCAGGACGGAAATGCATGAATCCAGAGTCAAAATTCACTCAAAATGTCATCATAAAGGCTCTTGAAAAGAGGTGAGAATAGTATATTTACTCATGCTTCACATATATATTCAATGCAAAGATGTAGATTTGTGTGGCAGAGAGAGACATGGCAATTTGAAAAAAAAAAGGAATGAATTAATTGGAAATTCAATTAAATGCAAAATATTTCTGATCTTCACAGGAGCCAGCAGACAGCACCACACAGTACAACTGCCTCTGTGCCACTGAAGAACACCATGACATCATCATCTGCACCAACATCCTTCAAATGACTTCATATGTATTAATATACTGCCTCATAAGTTGGAGTTCAATTTAGAAAAAAAACTTTAAAACTAAAAATATTTCCTGTCTAAGCTGATTAAATTCTTTTTTCTCTGACCACTTGGTTGTTTTCACAAATGTATTTTCATAAGACCACTGAACAATGTGTCATATGTACAGTCTTTTTATAATATGCTGATTGTATTTTCATTATCCACAAAGATGTGTCAAATAAAGCTTTTCTATCTATAAATTATGTCTCCTGACCTCTTTCAGAGTAGTTCTTGCATTCTGACATTCTGAGTGTAAATGAATATGACACTCCAATAAGCAATAGTCTCATGGGTAACAATAGTCTCATCTAAAACACAAGGTCTGGGAAGTGAAAACTCAATAAAGCTTAAAAAAAAATTGCTAAACAGAGTCTATTTTTGACTTATATGAAGACTTTTGCCACTGCAGATTGCCACTGCACCGGATAAATCAATCAACTGAAAATGACATAGCTACATAATGAATTAAAATCCAGCTTAGCATCACAGTAAGAAATTATTTTTAAAAGTATTTTAAAATAGAAAACGGGTATTTTAAATTGTAATAATATTTCACAATATTACTGTTTTTTGATCAAATAAATGCAGCCTTAGTGAGCATAAGAGACTTCTTTAAAAAACATTAAAAATCTTACTGATCCCAAACTTTTGAATGGAAGTGTATTTAAATTCTCTATGTACTATATTGATATTCCTGAAAGAAAAAAACAGCTGTTTATACCAATAATTATACCAGTCTTATAAGGGGTTTTCCCATGTTGATGTATTTCAATAAATAACTGTTTTGACTTTAAAATAGAACACAGAATGTAAAATAAAAGGGTAGTGAGTAAGAGGAACTAACTGACCTATTAACATCTATTTAAAAAGAAGTGTTGGTCTGTGTACTAGTTTGTGGTTTCCATCACCACACTGTGATTCAGCTGTCTGCACAAGGTCGCAGTCTGATATTCAGAACAACAGCAGCACAATGTATACAATAGTTCAATTTACAAGGAAGAGACATACATTTTATGTACAATATTGTCAGTTACTTTTGACTATTATTCATCAGCTAAGAAAAATAGTTTGAAACTAAGCCACAGCAGATTCAAATGTCACATGTGTCTTATAGCGTTTCACATTACAATGGAGCTTGTGCAACAGTAAAAAAAGTCCAGCTATGCCCCTGGTTGTTGAATGATTCGGTTGAGTAAATGATTCACTGACTCACTCATAATCACACTTATTTTGTACCTGAAGAATGTATTTTTTTAACATATCTATTGAAAAATGGTTCAGTGACTCACTTATTCGTTGCCATGCCACCTACTGGTGCAATGTTACCCACATAGAGTCACTGGAAATCCCAAGTATTAATACTTACATAGACTGATATCTGTAAATTCATAATAAAAATGTGCATTAAATTACACCATGTTTATGTTTTTAATGTTTTAATGGCCTAATGCTTCTAATTGCAATAATAGTCTAATATTGAAAATAATTGCAATTTAATTGCAATAATAGTCTAATATTGACCAAAGAAAACGATCTTTGGAATGATTGCTTCCTCATTCTTGGAAAGGTCAAGTCTACATGAAAAGAAAGTGTTTCTGAGAAACGAGACAAGTACAGATGCAGGACCATAGAAACAAAAACTGAAAAATTGTCAGGGAGGGAAAACCCCTTACAAAAGCATAAAAACACAGCAGCTGAACTTAATCATACACAACTTCATTAACCAGCCATTAGGGAGGTGAAAACATAAAATGAATACCATGAAAATCATTACAGCTATGGTTATTCTAGGCTGCCTGCTTGTTGTAGAGGTGAAAGGTGAGCTTGATCTCTGAACTTTAGAGACTGAAGAAATGCACATTTTGTTTTTCATACTGTGCATTTATATTGTGAAACCTTCTTTGCATGGCAGGATGTTGCAGATAATGGTAAAATGCACTGTTTTTCTCTTCCAGGCCAGGCTAGAGTTCCGAAGGGCAGGTGTTTTTGTGCTGACAAAGGTGTGAACATGGTTCCTCCAAAACTGATTGAGAAGGTTGAAATCATTCCACCAAGTCCCTCTTGTAAAACCCAGGAGATTGTGTAAGTGTATACTGTTATTTACATACAAATATTCTCTAAATATTGTACATCTCTGTTTAAATATGTTGACTGACATAAATAATCATGCAGCTTATTTTGTCTTGTGTTTTTGTAGTGTTACTCTGAAAAATAGTACAGAGCAGAAATGCTTGAATCCAGAATCTAAATTCATGCAGAAATACATCATGAAGGCTATTGAAAAGAGGTTAGTATAAACCTTTAATATTTTTATATTATATTTTGTTTATACTATATGTCCATACAATATGAATACTTCTCTCTCACACTCTTTTTTTTACATAATAAACAGAGAAGGCTCACTATCAACTGTTTCTGATTATTTTTAGGAGCCTGTAGAAGAAATAGCCTGCAAATGAATCCATATGAGCTATTGTGAAGTGAAGAACATATATCAGCACCCTACAATCAGTAACCAACATCCTTCAGACAAATCTTGAACTGAAATTTTTAATGTAAATCTTTCCTTAATGTTTGCTTAACGTAAATCTTTTTTTTTTCTGATAAACATGATCATTAATAACTGTTGTACATTTTAAAATAGTAACGCAAAACATGCCTGATTACAGTGTGTCATATGTACAGTCTTGCAAAATAAAGCTTTTGTTGACATTTCAGTATATACAGTATATATTTTTGTACTTATGGCCATTCTATAGAGCATAGATTAAAAATAAGCTAAATAAAAAACAATAAAATGTCATTATAAGTAGCCTGTTTGGAAGAAATATTATATGTGACCCTGGACCACAAAACCAGTCTTAAGTCGCTGGGGTATATTTGTAGCAATAGCCAAAAATACATTGTATGGGTCAAAATTATTGATTTTTGTTTTATGCCAAAAATCATTAGGATATTAAGTAAAGGCCATGTTCCATGAAGATATTTTGTAAATTTCCTACTGTAAATATATTAAAACTTAATTTTTGATTAGTAATATGCATTGCTAAGAACTTCATTTGGACAACTTTAAAAGCGATTTTCTCAATATTTAGATTTTTTTTTGCACCCTCAGATTTCAGATTTTCAAATAGTTGTATCTCGGCCAAATATTATCCTAACAAACCATACATCAATGGAAAGCTTGCTTATTCAGCTTTCAGATGATGTATAAATCTCAATTTCGAAAAATGTACCCTTATGACTGGTTGTGTGGTCCAGGGTCACTTACTAAATCTGTGAAATGTGAACCTTAAATTTTAAATATAAATTTAGGTTTGCACATTAAGTCTAAATGATAAGTCATATTGAAATGCAAATTGGTCAAGTACCAAATTGGTCATGTACCAAAATGCACTCTTAAAAAAAATTCTAAACAAAAGTGTTCTTCAGCTTGTAACAATAGCAGAACCCTTTTATGTGCTAAAGAACCATGCTTTGAAAGTGCTATGTAGAACCTTAATGGTGTTATAAATAACTTTTTTAATGATAGTTTATTTTCATTAATATTACTATATTAGTATATTTACATAATATTAGTATTATCAATATTATTTTATATATTATTAAAATTGCTTTATCTACATTGTCTCATAATATCTTATAGCCTCTATTAGGGTTTTACATTAAAACAACAACAGCAGCAGCATGTTGTGTGAATTATGTACTTTTTATTGAAAAGTAAAAAAAATTTAAATTGTAGCAAAAATGTCAGTGCTCTTAACAAGCTATTACTGTAGCTGAATATATTAATAAATGACAATTGACAATGAACAAATACATGAAGTAAAACACAAAACAGGACAGAAAATAGATGTGATGAAGACAAAGTTCCTGTGAAATATCTTCACAATCCTCAGTGATGCCTTTACTTTACGTCCATCATTTTGATGTAACTGAGTGGCAGTTTCTCTCTGCAGATGATGAGGCTGTGAGATGTCATGCATCTGAAATACACAACATGTATAAAACAATGATGTTCACAAAGGCCAAAAGTAGTAAAAATTGACAGAATGTGAGCCCTTCACAATGTTAAAAGGAAAAAGTAATACTGTAGAATGTCAGGGGATAGTTCTAATGTTTTTTTTGTGACTGCATGTTTATGCATAAACCCAAGTAATAATTGAAAAAAATATAACAATATGGATTATGAATGTAATATTTCTGTTACTTAGTGGAGAAGAGGAGAGAAATGTCCTCATCTTAACAGAGCTGCTACATGTGACCAAAAAAACTAAAAAGAGAAAAGAACATTACATTTGTATTTCAATTTAAGAAAAATCATTTACCTGTTGAGAGTGTGTTTATGGTCTGTAGTTGAATGGCTGAGCACCAGAAAATCAATAATGAGGTAACTTTAACAGTTACAGATTTGAAAAACAAAAAGATGGGAATAAAGAGCCCTAAACTCTAACACAAAGAACCATTTTGGCATAAAAGGGTTCTTCAGGGAGTTAAGGTTCTAAATAGAACTGTTACTACGTGTAAAGAACTATAATGTTTTTAGAGTGTGGAATGCAAAATAAGCATCTGAAGGCTGGTATAAAGCTATTATTCATTATTTAGCATACATTTTTGACTGGAGTAATAACACCAAATGTTTAAAGGAATGCTTTGGTTTTGGAACATTATCACATTCCAGGCAACAACAAAGCTTAACTGTTGAGGGCCATGCTTCTCATCTGATCAGTGTTATGACTTATGAGACTGTCTCCAGATATGTAATTACATGGGACCAAAAAGCATGGCGATGGAGGGCATCATCCTGGCTGGTTTCCCTCAAGCTCAAAAAAGGAAAGTAAAATTTCATCCCCATCACTTTGTTATAGTAAAGGTTAATCCAACCATCATCTATTAAAATAAAAGGATGGTGCTCTGCAGCTTTCAGCCGGATTACATTTGCTGACATGTCTGCACAGATGATGTTTGAATAGTATATTATGAACTACCAAAACCACACAACCATGATGTGGATTCCTCAAGTTGTTATTCACTTCCATATACAAGATATGCGTCAAAAGCAGATCCATGAATTGAGTGTTTACTTAATCCCTTAATGTAAAAAAATGAGGTAAACAGATTTGGCTTGCTGTTAAAAAAAAACAACACTTTTTTTTCATTTTACCTCAATTCTGTGTATTAATGCAGTTTGTACTTTTAATTTGGCATTATGTAGGCCTACTATAGACGTTGACTCATGACAAATTTAATGACGTTCTCCATTTGTAAGTCGCTTGGGGTAAAAGGGTATTCTAAATCCAAGATATAGGGCTCAAACTCATAATTTTGTTGTTGTTTATCTGATATGCTTTTTTATTTTCTATTAAACTTAAAGCAGAGAACCACTGCTGTGATGGTAAGCTCTGGGTGGAAGGTGAGCATGTCGACTGATTTACAAGATAAAAATGCAGCTGAACATGAAGCCAAGAAAACATCAGCTGTACCAACAGGTCAGATAGGACGTAACCAAGCTCACATTTTTATGCGCAAGGTGGTTAGCCTACTTCCATCCTGGATTTTCTTGTTAAACAATCTTTGAAAACCAACCTTGATTTAAAAAAATTAAGACCCGACATCCAAAAAAAAAAAAAAAATCCTGGGTAAAGTTGACTCAAATTGCCTTTGACGTGAGCTTGTCTGGAGCTGAAGGACAAAGTAGTCAATAAATACTCATAAAAGTTTTTTGTTTTTCAAAAGATATGAGCAACGCTGGTGTCTAGGCTCATTTCCAATCTTATGGCTCCCTCTACTGGAAGGTTAAAGAATAACAAATTTAACATGTATCGTAGTAACAGTCGCCATATCTCTGAAAGGGCGGTGACTTCTGGTGCATGCGAGCAGAAATCGGGAGGAATATGGTGTACACAAGACTGCTTTGAATGCCTTGTCTTTGTATCTGACTGTTTTCAATACACTGTTCCGTCGTCCTTGGAAAAAAAGAAGTAATCTCACGTTCCGAATAGCTTTTTAAAGCCGTCGGGCAGGAAAAAATATGGGGAATTGCCACACGGTAGGACCAAACGAAGCCTTGGTGGTATCAGGTAACGTTAACATATCCTATCAACTGCCTTCAGTTTTTCTCAAAGCAGTCCGCTTTTCGCGTGTATTATATTCATCTGAAATGTAGCTAACGTAGAATGTGTACGTAAATCATCATGTATTTTATTCTACTGCAATTAACGCTTATTTTCTCAAGCATTTCAGTCGAGTTGTGTGTAGTCATTCGTGCTTGCCTGTTGCATTGTAGTTTGTGTTGCATGAAAGAAGACAATCCATCACTCTCGGCTCGTGTTGTTGTGCCGCCCTCATGCTCTTTTCTGTTCGATTTTGACCTGCTTGCGCAATGAAATCGATTTTTCTCTTGAAATCTTCTTGGTCTTGAATATCGATTGCTTATGTAGTAGTTTAGATTAAACACACGACTTGCGTATTGTGCTTTTTTTTTTTTTTTTTTTGACTGTATACATTTTATTTTTATGTGATCCTGCCACGTCCTTAGTATAAATATTTTTAAGCCACCTTTTTTTGAATACTAACGTTACTATAACACGTTTTGTCGCTGCAGAATAAAGTGGTCAAAACGGTATCAATCAAGCCCAGGGGTGCCCAATCCTGTTCCTGCAACCTTGATTAAACAACTGAACGAACTAATCAACATCTTCAGGAGCTCTTGATCATTACAGGCAGGTGTGTTTGGAACTGAACTCTGCAGGTAGGCAGATCTCCAGGAACAGGATTGGGCGCTCTAGTGATCAAGACCTTTTAGCATACCCCCGTTTATAAAAATTGGGATTTGTCTACACAGTTCAATGCCTCGATTTCTTTTTGTCATTAGTTGTCTTCCTGCTACGTTGCAGAAAGGTTCCTGGGTTTCACAATTTTAGGTTACATTTATATTTTTTAAGGGGAAAATCACCACATGTGGGAAAAATAATAGCAAAATATAACGTTTTATTCGATTAGAAGCTGTTTTACATGAATTGAGTCTAAATCAATAGACTACATCAAAATTATTATTGTATGATTTTAATTGCTGGATACAGTCAAGAAGGTCAAGACCTCTGACTTTGAGCAATACACATTTAAGTGGGTAATGTAGGCATTCAGTATGAGCTATAGCTACTTTTAATGTTTAATATAATTTATCAAATATACCTGATAGAGCAGTGGTTCCCAACCCTGGTCCTGGAGGCACCCCAACACTGCATGTTTTGCATATCTCCTTAATCAAACACACCTAATTCAGGTCATCAGCTCATTAGTAGAGACTCTTAACGGTGCGTTCCAAACGGGATATATCGCCCTCCGAAGGGCACTTCGGAGTGAAAACAATCATGTCCGCCATATTGAAGGGTCGTTCCAAACCGAAGTGCTCAAAACTGGCCACTTCAAAGGGCCCTTTGGAATGAAGGATTTCGAAGGGTACAACTGATGGACACTTCGGGCTCCCATGATCCTTTGCGCAGATTCTTTGCATGATGATGGCACCTCCGTGTGGGCACGTGATGATGATGCAGAAGGGCACTTCAAGAAACAGTTGTTTGGTCCCCTACACCCTTCAACCCTTCGAAGTTCTCACTCCGGAGGGTAAACCCTTTGAAGGGATTAGGGCATAGGGATGAGCCCTTCCAAACGGAACGCAGGGTAAGACAGGGCTCCTCGATTCTTGCCCTGGAGGGCCAATGCGCTGCAGTGTTTAGCTCCAACCCTGATCAAACTCACCTACCTGTGATTTTCTAATGATCCTGAAGACATTGATTAGCATGCTCAGGTGTGTTTGATTAGGGTTAGAGCTAAACTCTGCATGAAAGTGGATCTCGTGGGCCAGACTTGAGGATCCCTGCTCTAATGCCGAGTTCACACTGCACGATTTTAGCCCGATTTTTCACTTGCCGACAGGTTTTGCGAAATCGCCGACAAATGCCCGAAATCGGAGGCAAATCGGTGCTCGTTCACGCGAGTGACAACGATTTTAGCCCGATTTTTCACTTGCCGACAGGTTTTGCGAAATCGCTGACAAATGCCCGAAATCGGAGGAAAATCGTCGCTCGTTCACGCGAGTGACAATCACGCAGTGTGAATTATCAAAGATGCGATCTGAGGGAATCGCAGACACGTCACCGACGCCTGCAAAATATTTGGCATGCTAAATATCTGGAGCTGTCTGCGATTCTTCCTATTGTGAAGTCATGCAATGTGAAACCCCCTGTCGCCGATCCATCGTGCAATGTGAACAAAGCAGCAACTGAATGCTACCCCAGATAGTCACGCAGTGTGAAAACAACTGTGATCCCACGAGTTTGAAAATCATGCAGTGTGAACTCGGCATAAGACCTGAAATTGGTGTGTCAGAGAAAGGAGACATGCAAAATGTGCAGTGTTGGGGTGCCTCCAGGACCAGGGTTGGGAATCACTGTGATCGAGGCATGCATCCCAGATATCAGACTACAGGAAGTCATAGAACACACTTTAGTGTCACTGTCACAAAATTTGCTAGTTCTTTTATTTTAAATGATCTGCCAGCTACAATTTTTTCTAACTGTACAGTTTCATGCAGGTATTGCAGGGTTATTTCCTCTTTGCTTAGATTGCCTGAAAATTGTGTCCACATTGGTCATGTTTCATGAAATAAAGTTACATGACAGAAACTTCAATGGGCCAATTCATCTGTCTTTCACGTGATTAATCTGACTGCAGTTGTGCAATTGATTAAACAACAGCTGAGGATTGCACACTAATAGCTGATGACATGCAGGGAATTTGTTGGAATAGTTTCCAGTACCTCCATTGCAACATGAAGAGAGACAAACTCTGACTTGAATGGTCTGGGGACCAGACCCATATACATAGATTTGTGAGGGAGTTCCTCACATATCTCACATTCCTAATGGTTACAGGCCCCTACTGTTTATACTTTACATCAGGAGTCCAGATTGATGCATAACCTTCAGGCAACATGAATGGATGTTGTAACATTGATAGCTGAATGTAATAAATCCTAGGTTATCTCCCTGAAGTCCAGGTCTCTTGTCATGGTTGACCCAACAATATCTATATTTGCACAGACGCATAGCCTAAATATCTTGCTTCATAAACTTAATGTCATGGAGAACTGGAAGGTCTGTTTTACTCTTACCCTTCTAATTGCTTGCCTCCCATAGCATTAGTTTGTTAGCCAAATCACAACATGAGCAACAGACTGTATTTTACATAATGAAAATTAAAGGCAAATAGGATGTGCATGTTCATGTGGCCAAAAGATGTGTATGATTTAATCCGCTATTGATGGAAAATATATTTATATGAGTGAAGAGTATTTAGTTTGTTTGTCTTGCAAACAATAACAGACATTTAGTTTAAATTATGACCTTGGGATTCAGTAAACCTCATAATCAAACTAGTCCCGCCTTAGTAATTGAATCGTAATTCTGTGTTCATGTACACTATCATTCAGTTTGGGGTCAGTAAGATTTACAATAAATAAAATAAAAAAATCTTTGAAATCTCTTCTGCTCATTTGATGAAAAAAAGTTCAGTGTGTAATATTGTAAAATATTATTAAAATTTAAAATAACTTTTCTATTTAATATATTTCATTAAGGTAGTTTATTCCTGTTATGGCAGAACTAAATTTTCTTCAGAAATCATTTTAATATGCTGATTTGGTGCTTGGAAAAAAAAAACATTTCTTATTATTAAAGGGATAGTTCACCCAAAAATGAAAATTTGATGTTTATCTGCTTACCCCCAGGGCATCCAAGATGTAGGTGACTGTGTTCTACTGAAGAAACAAATTCACCTACATCTTGGATGCCCTTGGTTTAACCATAACAATTATAAATGTCTTTACTGTTTCTTTTGATGCATCCTTGTTGAATAAAACTATTAATTTCTTTAAAAATAAATCTTACATCCCAAACTTTTGAACTGTATAGTAAGACCTTCACAGATGCACAAATAGTTTTGTTTGGAACAGCTAGTTGATTATTGAGCTCATTTCTGTAAACATTTAACCACCATAGTGGTTTGGTTAGCCTGTAACTGTGCATTGGGGCTTTCCGATGATTTTCATTACATGTGGTTATAATGAAGTTGTTGTTCAGTTTACAGTTTATAAACCAGTTTGGTGAGGCATGTGTGAGGTTTTTACCTTTTGTAGGTGGTGAAAGTGGTGACCAACCAATAGCTTGTGAAATGGGCTGAAAGATTTAGATTATTACAATGGAAAAATATGGTTTGAGTTTTTTAAAGACAATTTAAAATGAATATTTATTAACAAAGTATTCGCTTTAATGTTAGATTGCCATTTTAGATTACCACAAATGTTTGCAAGCATGTTTGAGTTTGAAAGTGAGATTATTGTGGAATGTGTATTTGTACTAAATATGCCGTGTTTATTTTCTCAGGTGGTTGCTGTGGCTCTGATGGGAAGAGCTATACAGTGGGCGGCTGGGCCTGGGCATGGTGGCTTATCACCGACATACAGAAGTAAGAATGTATTCATCACATTCGCTCCTATTATTGTGTTTACTGGCTCACAACATAAACAAATCATTCTCCATATATGTACATTTCAGTTGAGTGGGCATTTTAGAGACGTGTCACGGCATGCTCATATTTGTCTGGCTAGACTATTTAAACTTGTGAGTTTATAATATGTCTACTTTAGAGAAACTCCAGAGTGCGCACACCTGGGCCTTTTGTTTTCTTCCCAACATATTAAAGACATTGATTGTAACTAAAATAACCGTTTACTAGAAAGGAAATAACGTATCTGTTGAGCGCTCTTCCTGTCAGTGATATAGTCTTCAGCTTAGACAGCTTTCAGATGTTAAACACAAACGTGTCATATATCAGTACTCAACCCCCCCGTTCACATGAACTCACTTCATTAAGGGCTTGAGTATCGAGGGCCAGTGTTTGGAAAAATAAACAGAATTAACAATACTAGAATGTTGACTGAAGTTCAGCTTCAGTGGTTACAAAAGGAAGATCATTAATGGTGCAGCATCTGCTGATGAAAACATAGTATATCCAAAAATCTGTTGCGCTAAAATTATATAGGGCTTTTAATATTTAACATTGTTAACAGCAGGTCATAGGAAAGCTGAGTTATGATATTTTGTTTCACACATTTTCATTCTTTGCTCTAGGTAGGAAATAACCCTGGTTATTCAGATTTCGTACTGTACAATCGTAAACCCAGGGTTAACTTTCTTATTTGCATATTTGCGGTGTCAATATCACGGTTTAAATAACGGCTTGTCTCACTCCTGCACATCAGACTTATTTATTACTGACTCTCTAATTCGTCCTGAATAGACATTTCTTGGACCATAACTGTAACAATAAAACATTTTCTGTCAAATTTTCCCTCAAATGATGTTTCTCTAAAATTGAGCTTTAAAAAGATGATAATCCAAGGTTAAGTGCAGTGTAAAAAGCCTATATGTCATTCGGTGAGAGCACTGTGGGTACACAATGCTTGTAGCTGTACTTAGAACATTAGCCATAAGTCATATGTATGAAATAAGAGAACTGTTTATCATTCTGAAGCATATGATTTATTTCCATTCCTTGTTTCCTTCTTTAATCATTATTGAGATAGTTATGCATGTGCAATCTATAATAACCAGCCTGTCTTTTCTCTGATGTTCCTCTCCTGTTCATTTCTTTAAGTGTTTGCTGAGCTAACCTGCCTTTAAGCGCTGGACTCACCCGTGTGTGTCTGAGCATCTGATCTTTCTCTAGTATCTCACTGCTGGGGATCATAAGATTATTATGCTAAATCAGCTCTGTGGAAATACAGATCAGTAGATTTTATCACACTTCCATGTCTGCACAGCGGAAGGACTTAGTTCCTGAGCAAGAGATCTCTCTGAGAATAACGTCCCTATTCACCACTGTCATACATTAAAATTGATAAGATAATATATGGGGAAATACTATGTCAAGCTAGAGAAACCGTTGAAAGGTTTATTGGGAAGGTCACCAACAGTTTATTTGACTTACCAAAACTGGCCGCCATCCATTGACAGGAGCACAGGAAGTTGGTCATTTATCAGAGAGTCATATAACAACACATGGATGTGTGGAAAAGGACTATTGCAGAAATGCAGCTATTAGTTTTAAATGTTACAGCTAAAATGAAAATGTGTATTTCATCCTTTTTATTGTTAGAGCTAATGGGAAGATGAAACAACTGTCAATTTCAGCAATTTCTAGAGAGGGATTAAATGTCAAAAAGAGCAGTTGTTCAGCTGAATGCATAGCTTAGAAATAAAGCAAGGCTAGGTGGGATATCCCTTACCATCCCCCCTTCCTTGATAAAGCATGTAGTAATCTAGTTTGCTGGCAGCTCTAAAAGCTACATTGATCTAATTTTAAAAGATTGAGAGGGCTGTAGGGCTTGCTGCAGCACAAAGGCTGAAATTAAACATTTAGTTGTGGATCCTACTGCATATCCTTGTGCATGTTGCCATTCAGAAATGCACAGTTTCTTTTCAGTCCAATTTAAGAGCTACTCTTTTTGAAAGAGACAAAAAGCAAATGGAAATAAATTAGTTTGAAGTATACAGAAAAGGGCCATTGATGAGCAGTCCATACTCGCTGCTCACAACAACTATATTGGTAGATGGTGCATAATTAACTTCGTAGATATAGGCTGATTCCTAGACTATGGTCTCTTGACTGTGAACTATCCTGTGTTAAATGGGTATGGGCTATATTAGGGTTGAGCTATATTGGCCTAACAATCCACTAGAAATAGTATGCCATCTGGGACCCTGTTTCCACCCAGTAAGTCAGTTCGCTTGTGCTGAAATGCAGGACTTAGACAGTGTGAAACATTATAAACCTGCAGTGATTGACAGCTTTAGTGATTATAATTGGATCTTTATTTTATTATTTGTTTTGTGTATTATTTTAAATTTCAACATTTTTATAGTAAAAATACGGCTGGAATACATAACCCAATATCTGCCATTTTTCAAATATCGGTATCGGCCGATAAGTTTTTCTGTTTGGCCGATGTGTTCGAAGCTGGACTTTTATTTTGACGGCGCGTCGGACTTTTATTTTGAGGGTGCCGGGAACGGCTGCGGCAGCACCTGAGCACACAGTGCTCACATTCTCCCCCTTGTTCGCCGTTGTCATTCAGTTCTGTCTAATATGGATAGAAGTCTATCTAATAATCAGATAGAACTGTTAAACAAATGAATTAAAATGTATACAAAAAAGTATTATAACGATTGCTTTAATATTATTAAAGGCAAACATTATAATACTTTCTCGTTTGCCGTCAGCAGTCCGCAAATATGCATAACTATAATTTAAACAAATCTTTGAATGACTAATGAACATTTAATTTCACAAACCTTGCAGACTTAGTCGAACAGAATTTTAATTTTTGGGTGAACTAACCCTTTAATATAATAGGGGCCTTTGGACAATAAGGGACTAGGGCTGTCAAAATGACTGCAAAACTAAATTCAAATTTTCTACTTAAATATTATCAAAATTCAAATTATATTCGAATTTAAAAGGCATAATTTCAGTTAGGGGGAAAAAAGCTTTTGGCTTCTCTCCTGAGGCCACAAGAGGGCACATCGAGCAAAATATTATGCACGTTTCTTCAAAGCGTAATAAAATAACACGACTATCTTTGAAAAAAAGTGCATAATGTTTAAAATAATGTTTATAAACCATATATAATTAATAAAGTTGCTTAAACAATTAGAAAAAAAACAGCACCATGCATGTATGTATAGTTTAATACAAAGGACCGAAAACCAATCACAAAGGGTACTTTCTTCATTTAAAAACATGAGATACAGTGGTATGGGGAAAAAACGCCATAACGTCTTTAGACATGTTTTTTAAAAGTTGAACTTGCATTCATTTTACATGGCTTTCTAAACATGGAATGTGGATTTCTTTTTTTAATTCGACGAATATTCGAAATTAAAAAAAAAAATTGACAGCCCTATAGGCTACAGGATATATGTATTAATTTAAGAAATAGCAGCCACCAAAAGAGAGAGATAAAAAAATAGTAAACTACAACATTAAGATCTGTTTTGCTCAAAAGCCTTCACATTTTTAGACAAAAACAATTATGTACTAACACTATCAAACAGCATTTACACAGCTTTACAAACAGCGCTAATACAGATTAAAGAACGTGAAGACAACACGTATCTACGTCTTCGCGCTGCAGTGCGTAAGGAGCCTCCCAAGTTATATTTTCACTTTCATTCGTGACACAACGGTTTCTTAATGCACCAGTACGCTCGATACCAACCGCTGTAAAACAATAATAATAGCTAATAATAAGAAGACACAATGGCTTCGGGTTTACTGAAGAGAAAGAACATAGCACTATTATCTATCAAAATCTGCGTTTATTTTTTAGAAAACCTAATGAAAATGAAGCTTCTCTTTATTTCTCCCTTATTGTTCTGGTGTTTACTCGACCATGGTAAGACATTTAAGCTTAATATATTTCTTTCGGTGTTCTAACGAGTTGTGCTAGCCGAAATTTGCGGTTAAAACGTGTTTTCAGTAAAAACAGTAGGCTACCAAACATGCGTAGGATGCTTCGTGGGCTCAACAGAAGCTGTCAGATAGGCTTGTCTAGTAGGACTGCGTCAGGGATGGTTTGTTATAACGGGTTACATCATGCAGGAGCAGCCCATGAGTTTGTCTTCTGTGCTGACAGTATTCTGTATTCTGTAAAGCTACAGTGCACCATGGACATGGAGTGGGTCAGAGCGCGGATCAAACTGAAACAACAGTCAATTAATCGATAATAATAGGCTAATTAAAAACACATTAAACAGGCACTTCTTATTTAATGGTATTTTATTGTTTAATTATTAAACTTTCAATAAAACATTTGCAATGGGTTTGTAAAATGTTTTTGTAAAATGTTTTATGCATGTTTTGGCCTGAGACACTTGATGTTGGAGTTGAATTTTAAAAATTAATTCAAAATAAATAAAATTGTTCTACATCTCCCCAAGTATCACTGTGGTAAATTTAATGTTGCTTTACGGTTTCATTTTTTAATAATTGCATGCAAAACTCATGAGTAATACTATTTACCTCGCCATACAGACATAATTTCAAAATTCATAAAAAGGTAAAATCAAATTGTTTTCTGCAAACTCCACCAGATTCTTGTTCTTCA